ATACCGGAACAGGCTAAAACTGCAGCTGCGTCAACACATGTACAGTGGATTAATAGAAGCAATCATCACTGTTTGCATAGCAGGGACTGACTTTAGTTTGGATCAGCTGGCTGGTGTAGTCACAACAGAGGTCACTTGTCAGACGGTCGGTCTGTCATCTGGACTGGATGCTGCCTCGAGATCATCACCGTGTTGTCTATTATTATTATTATTAGTGAGAAATTTCAGTTTGTCTACTTGATCAGGATCAAAGCCTTGCACTGAGCAGTGATTGCTGGTTATAATTTGTTGTATTTACTGCTCTGGTGCACCTTCACGTATCCTGTAATTAGTTCTGTTTTTTATGCGGGGGCTGGGCCGATTCACTGATGTACTGGCAAGTGAAACGGAATGATAACAGTAGCAGCTCTGGTGACACACGGTGATGCCGTTCGGTGGTGGTGCTGGAGTTCCAAGAAGTCAATGTGAAAAGAAAAAAAAATTCTGCATGTCTTCTGTAGGTGGAGTAGGGCAGAACATTCCTATTTCTGGCCACTAAAGTGGATGATCAAAAAAATGGGTCAACATTTAGGAGATACTCTTCTTCACTTTCATGGCGAGAAACAGATGAGCAGAGGTTGTGTTTCTCCCTTGCTTTGTTGTGCATGTGTGAAAACAAGGTGGAAAGAACTACACATGTTTAAAAAGAAGACCAAATTCTGACAGAAATTTGCTGTAATGTATCACGCAAGTTAGATGAGGATGTTTCATCTATGCATCAAAAGACTTCACTGCCTTGTTAAAGGATGAGAGCCCAAGCAGGGGTCTAGTTCATGAAGCCGGTTACAGTTGAGGAGAAACTGTTTTTAGGGGCAGGAAGTTTTAGTTAAATCTTGCTATCGTCACCAGTTGGCACCAGAAATACGCATCAGGTAAGCTAATTATTAATATTGTATTAATGTACAATGTCGGTTAATAGCTATGTCTGATGCCCAGTGAAACTAACAGGGTTGGACAGATGACGCCTATGAACCTAGGAGTATTGACTTTAGGGTTGCAGGGGGCTGGAGTCTATCCCAACTTAGTCAGGGCGAAGGCAGGGTACAGCCTGGACAGGTCGCCAGCCTATCACAGGGCTACACTTAGAGACAGACAACCAAGCACACTCACATTCACACCTACGGACGATTTAGAATCACCAATTAACCTCAGCATGTTTCTGGACTGTGGGAGGAAGCCGGAGAACCTGGAGAGAACCCACGCTGCACGGGGAGAACATGGAGACTCCACGCAGAAAGATCCTGGGTGTCCTAACCAGAGATTTGGTAACCACCGAGCCATCATACAGCCCGTGGCTCTAAAATACACCCAATGTTTTTCATTTTGTCTTTCCTTACTTTTAGACTAATGGACTTGTCTAAATATTCATTTCTGGTTACTCTACAGGGAAATTAGTTATAAGGAACATCCCTAGTTTTGGTGTTGATGGACGGTCCACTCTCCCCAGAGGATTGTGTCCTGGGTTGGAGGGTGACTTGAATCTCTTGAATCTGTCCTGTGGGCATCAGGGTTCTGTATCTGTGGGCAGATTACAGTCAGTAACCACTTTTCAGGGACTCTGTCCTGCACTCTAGGGGCGAGTGCTGAAATTCAATTTTCACTTGAGGTCTTTGGTGATGCAAGTTTCCAGAACTCCAAACTGTGGAGTCACACAGGGTAGCTGTGATGTGAGCTCCACACCACGGAGCATTTTGAGAGCAGATATTTCCTTCATTGTTCATCCTATTGCTTAGTGATAAATACTAGTCACTAGGTAGCCAATAGGGAGTGACTTGCAGAGTTTAAGTTCTTCACTTCTGAGATACTTCCAGGATGTAACTGGAACCCACCACTGTCTGGTCTAAAGAGTCGCATCGTCACTGACTTGCAGCTTCAATTGTAAATTCTTTTACATAAAGGACGGAGCTCAAACGACAAAACTGTCCCTCCTGACGTTGACGTTCTTTCAAAGGAGGTGAATTTTTGCTCCATCTCGGCTTATTCAGAGAAGTATAGCCTACTGGAAGCAGACGAGGAGCGAAACTCAAAATAAAATTACAAGGCTCGAGTGTTCAGTGTATAATCCGTTTATTTCAGAGGCACCCATGGGAGTTCTCTGCTCCAAGTGAATCAGCTCCGGTGGGCCAAACAGGCTCTTCTTAAAGAGGCGAAGGCAAAAATGTAAGAGACAAGGGAATGTTGTAAGAAAGACGTCTTTGATGACAGCAAAACACCTTTAAATGGTGAAGAGCTGCTCAGTGCAGAAACCTTTTTTACCCAGACTGAACATAATAAGGAAAAATAAAATATTTAACGAGAATGTCGAAAATGTCAGACTCATAAATTCAAAGGGAAATTTATATGACATAATGACTATTATCACATTTCAGTGCTCTGGATAATTAAACCATAATTAAAGAGCAACTTGCAGGTTGGCAACCCCAGTGAATTACTGTGTAGGAAAGTGAAACAGAAACGAGCTGTAAAACTAGAGTTTTATACCTGTCTCAAAAAAGACAGCGAAGTCACAAAAGGGAGAGCAGCCCAGCCAGGTCCAGTTTAACAGTAGAAGGTATGAATCCTTACTAGGACTGAACTATTGGGAGAAGCAATATCTAATTAGGATTTGATTTATTTTGCACTTTTCAAAACATGTTACAAAGTCGTCACATCGACAGAAAATAAAAAAAGGCAAGAAAAAACAGATTTCTATAAAGCCAATGCAGAATAGGAAATGTCAAAGGATATAAATAAAAAACCTATAAAATACCTCCCCGGGCATATTTAGATCACTATTGCCTCCTTTCCTTCCCTTTCCCCCACTTGTTGGAACCTCGCTGTGTGAATCAGTCCACCCTACATTTTTGTTTCCCATTTACAAAAACCAAGGCAGTTTTTTTTGTTTTTGGTTTCATGGCACACACAGGACAAACCGCTAGCAGGGATGTTCACTGAATTTCACATAACTATACTGAATTAGAATCACATGTTCCACCTTAAATCATGCTCCTTTTCTTTTGTAAATTCTTGGCCAGGAAGACAAACTAGACTGACTGGGATTTTTTCTAGGCGCTGTATTGTAATAGAATAGAATAGAAATAGAATAGAAAAATACTTTATTTATCCCAGTCTGGGAAATTACTGTGGTACAGCAACAGCAAGAAAAAAACACCAATAACAACAGAAAAAGAGCTAAAGTTAAATACTATTTTAAAAATTATAAATAAAAGTAAGTGAATAAAATAAAATAAATAAAACAACTGTACAAAATGTGCAAATTGAAAAAACAGTGCAAAGACAAAGTAACTGAATGTAAGGAGTTTTTTATTTACAGTAGGATCACAGAATAAGCAGCTCACTGAATAAGACTTTACAGCATTTGTCCGTCTTGAATGTTGAACTGGACCTTTATTTCATTTTCCAGGACAGTAAACATGGCCAACAACATATATTATAATGTTCTAATACAAACTGAGGCCTGTCTAGACACATTATGGCCGATAACCGTCGGCGTGCTCTTAACTGACTGCAGTTACAAGCTGCTGACTTGCTTCCCACACACATGCATTTTCAACAGTCAGTTCCTTTTAGCGCACACTGTTAATTGGGCTTTTCACGTTGATTATTTGCTGAGTTAAATTCTCGAGGAAGCAGTTCATTACATTAGCAAAATAAAAAAACAAAACTTGCCCCCAACAAAACCACCTCGCTCCACCTCTTTCCTTAAGCATCCATCAGATCTCCTTTGATGATGCCTGAACATGGCTCCATGAATCCAGAGGCTGTAAACGTGACCACAGACATATTTCTAACGTCAGCTTTTCTTATAAATTCTTGAATGGAAAAAAAAAAAAAAGTAAGAGTATTCCTTTAAGCTTTAGGCCGCCTTCCTCAGAGAGGATATTTCCCTCTTGGCAAATATTCAACATAATTACATTATGTGCAGGAAGGAGCCTCTCAGATAAATGGCTCGTTATTGCTTACAGTGAGAGTGTTCCAAAAACCCAAGACGCTCTGTGAATGGGCAAACAAGAGACAAAGACTTTGGTCATTGTTCAGATGACGGATGGTATTTGAGAAGTGGAACACATGGAGGTGGCCATGGAGCAGCTCTCGGGATGATTCACGTACGGCGATGGCAGCTTTGACTCATCGCACAGTGGCTGAGGTTAACTAGGTAGTTTATTCTACAGCGAGAAGAGATCGATGTGCACAGAATTGGCCCTGAGTGGCATCAGTGCTGTAAATGGAAGAACGTCACCTTGAGTTGACTGTACAGTAAACACGAATACATTCTTTTATTTCCAGTCAAGGACAAATTTGTAATAGACGAAGTGAGAATTTGAGGAATGCTGTTACTCACTGCGGGAAGAGTCATCGGCTCTGCAGTCAGCATCAACTGTTTTTTTGTTTTTTTTTCTGATCTACGTAAATTTAAAAGAATAAGTGAAGTAAAAACATGAACTCATTGAGCATCTGACATTATCAGGTTCTGTATGTTTTCCTACAAGTTAGTATGTGTAGTGTATACAAGTATATTGTAGTTTACTCAAACAGGAGAAAATACTGCTTTTGTTTTGAGACTATTTTCAGCATCAGATTAATACGTCTTTGGTGTTCTGGCGAGTAGTTGTGGTTCAGGGTAATGAAGGAACATGTCACCCAGCGTTGTAGCTCATTGTTATTATTGTCATTTTAATGGTTCTTGAACAACAATGGAGCTCAGGCTTTTATACACACATTCATTAGAATGATACATTCAGTGTAGCTTTGGCTCTGCATAGGAAAATGTCATAAATAGAATTCTATTTTTTTTTTCTTTTTTTTTTTGCATATGCACCTTGCACCATATGATGCACATTACGTGATGTGTTTAATGACTCTGAAAGTGGAGATGGGTGGACAAGCAGGTGCTAAATGCTGCTGCTAATCCTGTCTGTGTCTAAAGTGATCTGTGTCTGTTTCCTCCACCCCCTTTGCAGAACTACAAGGACACCCTGCAGACTCAGGTACTGGAGTCAGCGGGGGAGCGACTCAGCTCAGTGAAGTTTGGGACCAACCTGTCAGACGGGAAGCTCCGTGACTTCCAGGATGACCAGATAGGCCAGCTGTACGAGCTCATGCTGGAATCCACCAAACCCAACAGACAGTTTGACATCCAGGAGGACAGCAAATGAAGCAGCAAAGCCACAGCGGTGTGCTTGGACATTGAGAAGGTGCTCTGATGAATTCAGGCAGCTTGAATATTACCTCTTAGTGCTTCAGATGCAGAGTGATGCTCAAAGGCCAAGTAGAGGCTTTTAAGAATATTTGATTATGTCAAAGTGCTGTGTAATTCTGTGTTCTTGTGCTTGTCTCTTTTACTATGACAATAAAAGAGGTTCCTCATGCTCCTCCACAGGCGCATTAAAGTGGCACTAATTCCCTTTGTCAGCTTTTTTTTACTTGAATATTGTTTTCCTTCATGGTCATGAAGGAAAGGCACAGAGATGTGTCTCCTCGGCAGATGCACCGAGAACTCACATCAGCACAGCCTCCTTCAGCCTCAGTGGTGATGTTGCCATTGTTTGGGATGAAGTCCTCATTATCCATGTGGAAACGTGAACACAGGCACACAAGTCATGAGCTGTGCATGTTGAGGAGGACGGACCGGGGTTTTAGAGCTGTTATAAAAGCCAACTCATGGTTGTTGATGCGCTGAATGCCTCCCACTGAGTTCCAACATAATGGTAATTTCTCCGGAAATAAATCAATTATGCACAGTGCAGCTGTACCAAAGGCTACCAAGAGTCTTTGTCCTACATCTGTTCCAAATGCAATGCTGGTTTGAACGCTTCCCTCCTGCTGACATCTAAATATTAGTTCCGTAGACATTGCTTTTGTTGTCCTATAAAATATCTAGAGCATACATCATGCAGATCCCGGTGTCCCCACTGGGATCTGCATGTTCTCCCCGTGCAGCGTGGGTTCTCTCCGGGTTCTCCGGCTTCCTCCCACAGTCCAGAAACATGCTGAGGTTAATTGGTGATTGTAAATTGTCTGTAGGTGTGAATGTGAGTGTGCTTGGTTGTCTGTCTCTAAGTGCAGCCCTCTAAGTGCAGAACCTGCCTTCGCCCTAAGTCAGCTGGGATAGACTCCGCCCCCCATGACCCTAGTGAGGATTAAGCGGTGTATAGATAGTGGATGGATGGATTGTTGGATATCTCTCTATAATGTTGTCTGGCAGTTTGTTCTGGTCATTTTGCCTGTAATGATAGTGACAATCAAGGACAAATAAGAAAAGTGGGAGCAAAGAGGGGGCAACATAGAGCAATGTCAAGTGCCCTGATGCGGCATGTTATGACTTGACGCTATCAAAAAATAAAAATTTGGATAACTGATCATTACTATTAAATGCAAAGAAGTCTAGACAAAGTCAAAATCTGTTTAGTATTTGCGATTTCTCAAAGTAGCCTACTGTTAATTTGACAAAAGCTTTATACACTCTTCTTTCTCCAACCAGCTTCATGATGTTGTCACCTGGAACTTTTCCAACAATCTTGTAGGAGTTCCCACATATACTGAGCACTTAATGGCAGTTTTTCCTTCAATCTGCGCTCAAACTCATCTCACATCATCTCATTTGGGTTTAGGTCAGTGATGGTGGAGGTCATGCGGTTCCATCACTCCGCTTCTTGGTCAAACAGCCCTGGCAGAGCCTGCAGGTATGTTTTGGTTCACTCCTCTGCTGGGAAACTGTTGATGATCCCACTAAGCTTAAACCAGATGAGATGTTGTGTCTCTGTAGTATGTTGTCATAGCCATACTGGTAAATTTTGCCTTGAATCTGAATACATCTCCAACAGCGTCACCAACAAAGCCTCCCTTCACCATCAGAGCTTCAGCTGAAAGCGTCACAGTTACAAACACAGTCTCACAAAGACACAGCAGCTGGAATAAAAAAAAACAAAAAACATTTGGACTCATCAGATCAAAGTCCTGATTTCCACCAGGCTAAAATCTGTTTCTTGCGTTTCATCTTCAAACTAGTCCTTTTTCTTCTTGGTCACCCTCAGTAATGGTTTCTTTGCAGCAGTTCCACCATGAAGATCACATTCACACAGAGTGATGTTGACGTGTGTCTTCTGCTTGAACTCTGTGAAGCATTGATGTGTGACTGACCCTCATGTCTTCACAATAAGATGAACTGTTACGTCTCTTGGCTTGGTTAAGCGTTCTTGTAATATGCATTTCGACAGTATTAAGCAGTGCGATTTACTGTATACCAACACATACTGATGGTGTCAAACACATCAAGAATTCAAGAAATTCTACTAGTTACCATTTGACAAGACTCACATGTTAACTGGAAACCATTGGATGGAGTGGATATAGTTTTGATGTCCTGGCATGTCTGTACTGAATTCTTGTGCGTCTTGTGCTCAGTACCATGCAAGTGTTTTGGCTTTTCTTGTCGAAGTTGCATCATGTGAGAATGACATACAACATTTGCATGGCAGGAATCAACAACAAGCCATAAGATAGGTGAATGTTACTCTGTTAGTCTTTGTCTGAAAAGGCTTTAAGGGCGGCAGGTGTCTAGAGTCTCCCAACAAGCAGCAAGACACTGGTGACCAACTATAGTCTGTCAGTGTAAACACCAGAAGACTTCACTAGTTTTGCTCCCTGTATATAAATATATATATATTAGCTTCACAACTTTTAATTGTTTTTTGTGATGTGCCACAGTATATTTCATGGTGTGATATGTAAATTACTTTTTAACAATCTCTATATACATTGAGTCTAATCTCTAAATGGAATCAGTGATTAATATCAGCTGTCAAAAGCCTGGGCTGTAATTAATTGAGGGATAATAAGCAAGGCGGTGCTTTCAGTAATTGTTTAACATGACCTCCATCACTTCCCATGGCATTTGGTAATGTGCAGCACCATATGGTGTGTCATCTATTGCAATGTGAGAGGAGTGAGGAGCAGATGAGGAAAAAGAGTCTTGACCTACAACAATATGAGAAAAATGAATGATTAAAACTACTCAGACTAAACCTCTAGATATTGTTTGCTAATACTTAAACCTCACTTGATCCCCCATTGTCATTGTACAAGAAGACTCTTCAGTTTTTACTTATGTTAATGGGCTGTAGATTTGATTTTAAAGGAATAAAACTTTGATTTATTCCCATCAGGTATTTTCAGAAGACTCTTCTACACAATTAGTTAAAAAAAAAGAAAATCCATCTGTTGGATGATGTCAAGAAAATTTGTTAATACTTTATATTCTTGCAATCAGTCTTGCTCATGAAGTAGCATACACAAGAGGCCTGTGCTGTTGTATTCATTTATACCTGTGTGCTGGTGTGTCTGCATCGCTCTGTAATTAAACTTGTTAGCGGCGGGGTTTCTACGACGCTGTGTTGAGTTTCTTCGTGTACTTCAAACAGTGGCACCTGAAACTGAGTGGGTCATGTTGGAGCTAATCAGTGTTGGACAACGGCTACGTTTATGAAGGCAAATATGACAGAAGAAAACAAATTAAGTCGATACACAAATTGACAGAGCTATGAAAAGAAGAAAACAGCATGTAGCTACATTGGCAGAAGAATAGCTCTTGTATTTGTGCTACAAACAAGCCTACTACATATTCCATTGTGTTTTACTGAAGCTTTTTTTTTGCATATTACATAACATATTGCTCCCAAACTGACCAATCACCGTTGCGGTCTGCATTATGTGACGTGTTGTTACATACAGTGTAGGTGCAGCATAGATTGAATGTGGTGACATACAGATGACTTGGTCTTTAGAGCGGTATTGATCATTTGTCTCATCACTGGAAGGAACTTATCAGATTCCACACAACTCTCTTTAGAGCCATAAGCAGTTCTTATATGCGGTCCCCTGGCACCTGTAAACAGACGTTGATGTGTTCGGTCCATGAAGTTTATGAGGCCTATGAGACCTCACCTGTACTGAAGAGGTGACAGCTCTGTGATAGCGCACCTTCCACGTGAGACAAAACACACAGCGGTGCTCATAAATGAGACCGCACACAGAAACAGGTCGATATGCGTGCAGACGAAGGATATCACCTGGCCGACAGGCAAGGAGAAAAAGTAGGTTTCCACAGGGACGAGTAAAAGGCCCTGATCAATTACTATTGAAACTCCTTCACCGCAAAACAGGCCTGTGTTTAGAAGTTTACATAGCACAAGTAAAAAGATCAATACGCCACAAAAGCCTCACTTACAGCCTTATATGAGCTGAATGTGCTGGGACAGAGGATCCACAGAGTGTTAACAAGCTAATCAAGTGGAATCAATTTGGAAATAGAGTTGTTGACTGCAGCGGTAAACAGAGAGGCAGAAGTGGAGGAAACCAGGACTGAGGTCGGAACCACATAAAGAGAGGGCTAAGCTGTCTGATGACTCAATACACACAAGTGTGTGGTGACTGTGGAAACAAGTGGCACTTTAAAGTAGAAGAGCAGTTGAACAGTTGAGCAGGGAATCGGGGTTTATTACTTTCAAATCAATGAAACAGAAAGGCTAATTCCTGGAATGTCATAAAGGTCCCTAAAAAATTTGATATCTTAAAAACAAAAACCGAGAGGACAATGGAGGAAACTTTCTCCAGGGAAGGTGGAGAATGCTGGTGAATTTTATAAAGGAGTTATGGTTGGGTTTCAGACTGCTGACCTCGGCAGTAATAAGTTTGCAGCCCTGCCAGGAATTCATATTTGAGATTTTAGAGACAGTCATACTTAACATTGACGTTATTGAAATTCGTAGAACTTTGCCAAAGGGCTTCAGTGGGATCTCTGCAGATATCCTCAGAGACTAGAGGCCTTCTATCTTAACCTTGTCAGTCAAAAATAGGTTGGAAAGTTAAGAATGGTACTTCATTTAAGTAAGTACAATGATTCTTAGTATATATCAAAATGTAAGCTGTAAATTATCAAAGTTTTTGCCAAAACTAAACTAAACTGGCCGGCCGATCATCTGGAGAGCTGAGATGTCTAGAGATGTATTTCAAAAGCATACAGGCAGATTTTAATAAACCATGATTAGGATTAACTGCCCACATCATTGAAATCTAAATTCTAAAATGAATGGAAAATTACTTTGTAAGCAGATCATGACTGAAGATGTTCAAGGCTTTTAGGAATCTGTGCTTACTCACCACAAATCTGACTGTGATTGTGATGGAGATTTTTGTTTTTACTTCTGGGCTCAAACTGAGCATAGCATTTATCTAGAGTCATCTGACCTTCTTCTAGCTCTGTCTCCACCAACCCCTCTTTAGAAGTTAATGCCACATTATGTTGACCAGTTAGTCACTATGTCTGCTGTTTGGTACTGGGCAGGTCCAGTGTCTGCTGCTCCTAAAACCAAAGCTGGTAAAAAAGTGTAAGAATAAACCAA